ATCTCAATGTAAAGAAAATAAAAATCCTCACCACTGAACCAATAAACAACATTCTTAGCAATGGAGAAAAAAATGAAGTTGTCAAGGACTTCATTCTTCTTGGATCAAATATCAACACTCATGGAAGTAGCAGTCAAGAAATCCAATGACGTATTGCATTAGGCAAATCTGCTGCACAAGATGTTTTTAAAGCGTTGAAGAGCAAAGACGTCAGCTTGAGGACTAAGGTGCGCCTGACCCAAGCCATGGTATTTTCAATCACCTCATAGGCATGCGAAAACTGGACAGTAAATAAGGAAGACCATAGAAGAATTGACGCATTTGAGTTATGGTGTAGGAGGAGAATATTGAAAGTGTCATGGGCTGCCAAAAGAACCAACAGATCCGTGTTGGAAGTGCAGCCAGAGTGCTCCTTGGAGTCCAGGATGGCCAAACTTCATCTATCATACATTGGCCATATTGTTGGGAGGGACCAGTCGCTGGGGAAGGATATCATGTTTGGTAAGGTGGAGGGTCAGAGAAAAAGAGGAAGATCCCCAACAAGATGCATTGGCCAGGTGCAGCATCTTGGACTCAAGTGTGGTAACAATAGTGAGGTTGGCCCAGGATTGGGCAGTGTTTTGTTCTGCTGTGCATAGGGGTTGCTATGAGTCAGTACCAACTCAATGGAACCTAACAACAACAGCGTACTCAAGAATAGGAAGATTTAACATTGTGAGAACGTCAATACTACAAAAAGCAATCTGTAAATATATTATCCCAATCCAGATCCAACATCATTCTTTAAGGAGATAGAAAAAATGATCACAAACTTTATATGGAAAGAAGAGACCTTGGATGAGAAAAGCACTCCTTAAGAACAAAGTTGGTAGCCTCTCACTCCCTAATTTCAAAATTTACTAAACAGCCACAGTAGTAAAAACAGCCTAGTACTAGTACAATGAAAGATAGATCAATGGAATAGAATTGAGAACTCCAAAGTAACTTCATTCACATGCAGTCAACTCATCTTTGACAAAGGGCAAAACCACATCAAATGGGGCAAGAGATATTCAATAAATGGTCCTAGCAGAACAGGAAACTGATTTGCAAAAGAATGAAACAAGACCCTATCTCACATCATATACAAAAACATGCCCAACATGGATTAAAGACCTAAATATAAAACCTAGAGCTACTAAGATCATCAATGAAAAATAGGGACTGTACATGGCATACACTATCAAACATTACAAAAACACACACAGTCAGTATAAGGCAAAATAGATGACTGGGACCTCCTAAAAATCAGGCACTTATGTGTATCAGAGATTTCAGCAAAATAGTAAAAAAGGAGCCCACAGACCATGAAAATAATTTTTGTAACGACATATCAGACAAGGGACTAATATCTAAAATGTATAGAAAACTACAACACCTTTACAAGAAAAAGACAAACAACCCAATTAAATAATGGGCTCAAGACATGAACAGATACTTTACCAAGGAAGACATTCAGATAGTCAACAAACAGATAGCAAAATGTTAACAATTATTAGCCATCAGAGAGATGCAAATCAAAACAATGTGGTATCATCTCACACCAGAATCAATAAATAGCAAAGTTAAAAAAATCAGAAAACAAATACTGGTGTGGGTGTAGAGAAACTGAGCTCCTCCTATATTACTGGTGGGACTGTAAAATAGTTCAACCACTCTAGAGAGCCATGTGGCACTTGCTCAAAAAGTTGGAAATAGAAATACCTTCTGATCCAGCAATCCGTTTACTTGATATATATCCACAATAAATATGAGCTAGGCCACAAGCAGATATATGCATTATTCACAACAGCAGAAAAATGGAGAGAGCCTAACTGCACATCAGCATTAAGAGTGGATGAACAAACTTTGGTATATACTCATAATGGAATAGTATGGAACATTGAAGAATGATGACAAATCTGTGAAAACCTAACTTAGGTGAACCTGGAGGACATTATACTGAGTGAAACTCATCAATCACAAAAGGGCAAATATTGCACAGAGACCACTGTAAAGCTTAATAGCAGTTTTCCATACTAAAAGCAACATTCTTAGATGGTTACCAGGGGTGGGTGGGAGGGGAGAGTAATTCACAGAGTAGAGGGTAGACAAGTTCTGGTGACATGGAGAGGAATATACGAGGAGGGAGAGGGCAACATACAAGAAGATGGAGGGTAGCAGAATAATGATAAAGTTAGGTGAAGACACAAGGAGAAAAGCATGGGTTAACAGGGATAGAGGTAGTGATATATACACCACCTTGGAATAAAAGGTTTCTGTGCATAGATATATGGATTCAGACATAGGCTGTGCATAGATATATGAATTGAGTCCTAGGAAGAATGGTGTATGTGTATGTATTTAAACATTCCACAAATTTAAGTGTTTGAAAGAAGATATTTGTATACAAGTATTTACCTTCCCTGCAAACACAATTATGAATGTGGTGGAGCATACACAGGGTAAAATGATATAAACTTTCTAGATATTATCAAACATCTAAGGTAACAAGTTGTTGGATCCGGGGCTCAGGGCCATAGTCTCAGGGGATACCACTGTCAATTAGCATAACTTAGTCCACAAAGACAATTTCCTATAACCTACTTGGGTCAGTAGCATCTGGGGTCTTGAAAGCTCATGAGCAACCATATAAGGAGCAACTACTGATCTCTCCATGTGTGGAAGGAAGAGTGATAAAAATTAGAGAGGCTTAGAATCCATTAGTCCAATGAATTAATGGAACATGTGAACATCAGTCCCCACAACTTTGACCAGAAGAACCAGCAGTTCCCTGCTAGCACTACCAACTTCTCTGAAAGGAATCACATTAGAGAATCCTGGATAGAAAATGTCAAACAAAACTCAAAATTATTTAACTAAAAGAAAAAAAAAAATACTGGGCTTACTGCTCAGAAAGAGACTGGAGAAACCAGAGACTATGGCCCTCAAGTACCCTTCAGGTCTGGCAAGGAACTCACCTTTGTGGTCTGATATTCAGTCAAGCAGTAGATACATTTATAGGAGGGACAATACTACTAAGGTATGCTCACTATGGAATGGTCAGTCATTCAAAATAAAAAGGGCAACGTTTTCCTAAGGACAAAGTTGAGAAGGGATAGGAAGGTAGGTGGAATGCAAATAGGAACCACAGGAAGGAAGCAGGACAATTGTCATTGCATGGAGGGGATTGTAATCAATGAGATGAAACAAGGTGTATGATTTGTTGGCTGTAAAGTTGATGATCTTGTCTGTAAACCTTCACTCAATTCACCAAAAGTTAAAATAAAAATATAAAAAGTCACGTGTCAGAATTAAATTTTATTTCGCATTGATAGAAATCTTGAAAAGGATTTACATTTTCCCATGTTACAGCACAACATTTTAACAGAATAAGACATTTACCATAAAGGTTTTGTTGATTTGTATAACTAAAGGGTTTATAGTCTTCAGAGTAAAGGAAAATTAGTTTATAAATGATTGTACATAATTTCAAAATCCAGATATATACATATGGCTTCATTAATAACTTTCTACATGGTATATTACTAAATTATTTCCATTATCAATTAGCACCCATTTATAAAGATGCATTCCTAATACTGTTCTGATCAGCAGAAAAATTAACAGTTCAGAATAACAAGCATACATTTCTGCTATATATTAAACTGTCTAGTAACTACACCATATGTATAGGGTTGTAACTAACCTTTATTGTCCATTAAATGTTTTCAAATAATTTTTATCAGTCATCTGAAAATTTTGACTAAAGTAAGTTTCAAGTAAGTTCACTGGCAGATAGAATTCTTCTTAAAAATTACTATTTTTCCATAGTAGTTGGTTTCAGACATATTCACAAAATAAGTGAACTCTATGCTACTAGACCCATCTTAGACCAAATCATCTAAGATTGAAATCTTAAGTATTTTATAACATGTAATAGTTTATGACCTAATTCTTCCACATGATTATAAAAAACAAAACCCACAGAATTATTCCTGTTACATGGATTGAAAATTCACGTGGATTGAAAACTAAATAGGTCTAAATTTGGACTAAGTTACAGTTTCAGAAATAAGTACTACAGAGGTTTTAAGTGATGTCTCATTTCTTTATATAAGTATAAATGCATTTAAAACACCAAATGTTTGTGATTGAGAATGTCAAATTACAGCAGATATCTATGGCAGAGAGGCAATATTTGGTCTGTTATAAAGGATGATACAGGAAGAATACATTTCTTTTCTGAAGAGGAAAAGAATATTAAACAAAAGATATCAAAAAAAAAAGAAGAAAAAGAAAAAAATCTTGTTTCCCAAAATAAAAGGGCCAGTAATTGAGAAGAACTCAATTTCATTGACATGTAAAAGCATTATTTCTATTATTAGAAATAATGTAATACAATCTCATTCTTATTTTGCATTACAATCATTGTGTATACATATATATATAAAAATAGAGATACTGCATGGTGACTAAGCAATTTTGAAATAAACCCATAGTCTAAGCCACAGCATGCATAACTCGTTTATAACTGTTCATTTATACATGAACACATTTTCAGTAATCACACTAATAAATTTCAAATAATGTAATAAAAATCTAGTTACAGTATTCAATGTTTTACTGAATTACATTTGAGAAAAACACGCTAGGTACTTAACCTATTTAATACTAGTATATTCTGAATCATAATATACAAACACTTATCTAGAAACTTAAAAGATTGAAAGTTTTTCATGAAAAAAACATTATTTAGTCTGTCATTGGCATGTATTTGTAGAACATTGTAACACTGAAAACATGAGAAGTTTCAGAATTGGGCAGGCACGTGAACAGTTTCTACTCTATATGATGCTGGTGTACTTCCACACAAGGCCTCTTAGCAGCAGGCATCAGTCCACAGGAGGTAGGAGCTTATCAATGAACTGCTTGACATCCATCATTTCCTGTTTGGAACAAAGTGATTTAATAAGCAGTTCTATACATTAGAAATTTAGCCCCCACCGACATGTTTCAATTATAGACTATCACTAATGATGTATCCACAGTGTACAAAGTTAAGGTTAAAGTACAATTTTACTGCTACAGCTAAATATAAAAGTTACACAACAGAGAAATGAGGTACCAACAGAAATTTCAGAATATTTCCCATGCCTGGTGTGGCGGCACTATGGGTTAATGCACTGGACTGCAAAGTCACTTTGCAGGGCAAGGTCAGTGATTCAAGCTCACCAGCTGCTTCTTGGAAACCCAATACACAGTTTCTATGGGTAAGAACTGACTTGACGGTTATTGTACAGCAAATCATAGTTCTTCATCTATTATCTAGTCCCAGGACAATGACTATATTTTCCTATATTTGAACAATATAAAAACACCAGAGGGAGGGCTTTAAAAGTGAGAGTACTCTTAGTGTATAGACTGAGAAGTCTCAATAAGTATACAATTACAGACAACTAAAATCAGTGAGCCTAGCTTTTAGCATTTCCCTCATTTGAATTAAATACTAAATGCTAAATCCATATCATAAAATATTTTGTGCCTTTCATAAGGAGTTATGAAAACGAGTATGCATCTAAGCAAGACCTGGAAGATGGGAAAATGAATACACCAAACATTACAGAAGACACCTAGATTTCCTAGATTTCTGCATCTGGCTCAGTTTTCTTACTTCCCTCAAACCCAGTTATTACACTACTATCATCACTAATACTTCAAGACTTATTCTCACAGTTCCACTAACTAGCAATGCAAAGAAGCTTCAACCTTTTGTCATACAAAAAACAGCAACCTATGAATGTGCTCTACTTTAACACCCTCATGATTCTAACATTTCAGATCCCTGGCCATTCTACCACTCCTTTTTTCCCACACCAATTTTTCTGCTTCTAATCATTCAGTATATTCAAACCCAAACATGACTACTTGAGTACCTGATTTCACCCATCATTGATTCTCAGAGTTTGGAGCTTGGCCACCTGTATTTTCAAAAGCTCAGTGGTCATTGTGATGGAACTGTTGAAAACCACTGTTGCCCTGAACCCTCAGTCCCTCCTGGATATTCAAAGTGCTCAGGGACCACTCCTTCTGAATTCAAGACATCATTATGGTTTCAACTATGTTCTCAATCAATCCACTGCAGTCAAGTAGAATTCCATCTCAGAGTGAGCCTGTGGTACAGAGTAAAACTGCCCGATGTTTACAAGGCTGTAAATCTTATGGAAGAAGACTGCCACATCCTTCTCCCATGAAATGGTAAGTTTGAACCACAGACCTTTCTGTTAACAGTAAACATTTTAACCAATGCACCTCCAGTCTCCTTTTTTCTTAGTGATAGTACTTTAAACTAGCCCCCTTTTCTTTCTGAATGAATCAAATACCATGTTTTTTCTTTTTCTGTCACTGAAGCAATTTTGTTAGAATTCAGAAGGAGAGGACCCTAGGCTGAGTAACCCTAAAACACGATTGGCTTGAACTTAATGTTTAGAAATCAGTTTTCATTTTAGGTCTTTTGAAACTTCTAAACCTATCATATATGCATATACATGTTCACTGCAGTCCTATCACAACAGCAGAAAGACCCAGTAGAAAAACTGTGGTACATACACACAGTGGAATAATATTCAATGTTGAAGACAAACAATGAAACTACAAAACACGTCATAGTACAGATGAACTGGAGGATATTAGAATGAGTGAAATAGTCAATTAAAGAAGAACAAATACTGTATGGGATCACTATTGTAAAATGTCGAGAAGCTTTTCTTGATGTGAGATACTTTCTATGATGGTGACGGGGTGGGAAGGCAAAATTATTCATGGGTTAGAGGGTTGTTGCTGTTTAGTGCCTTCAAGTAGGTTCTGACTCATAGTGCTCATGTATACGGTTTCTGGGGCTTAAATCTTCGCGGGAGCAAAAAGCCTCATCTTTCTCCTACAGAGTGGCTGGTGGGCTCAAACCTCAGACTATGTGATTCACAGTCCAATTATTATCGTATGGAGCCACGATGCTCCCCAGGGCTAGAGGGTAGACACATGGTAACATGGCCGATGGGGTAGGTAATATACAAGAGGGAGATTGGCTAGATAAAAATGAAGGAAGCGGAAGACACAAAGAGGAATGCAATAGTTAAAAGAGGTAAACAGTATTAACTGTTGATACACGGAGATCGCAACCATTGTAATGAAGCAAAGTATATGATTTGTAATACTGCTTTGTAAACCTTCACTCAGTTCACAATAATAAGTTTAGGAAAGAAAGTCAAGAAAAACTTTTCATGCTAAAACAAATATTCTATGATGGTTACCAGGGGTGGGAGGGAAGGGATAATTAATTAATCACTGGTTAGAAAGTAGACACGTTTAGTTAACTTAGGTGATGGGGAAAGCAGTTAAAATACAAATAAAGAAGAAAAATAGATACAGGGCCACTTAAGGCAGACTTTTAGATGATTTCCAGTCTTTTGCTATTACAGTCAGGGCTGCAAAAAATATTCTTACAGAGGGCTGAATTTTCACAAAATAAGCACCCTGAAAAAGAAATATAAAACTTAGTAATTTTGTGTCCCTGCAGTGCTTTTTAAACACAAAGCTTTTTTTTGTTTTTGTTTTTTAATAGTCTAGCATATATTTAAAAAGAGCCTTTCTATTCTTTCCTCCTTTCACCAAACCCTTTCTAAAAGATTTATACATGTCACCTTTGTCTTCCTTTCTACTCCACGCATTGCCCTGCAGTTTAGCTCTATCCAAGCTTATGAAGGCCTAGTTCTTTCTCGTTCTCTGAATTGTACCACTGCTCCCTCTCATTGTGAAAACCTCTCCATGGAGAGGTTTTCACAACTTATTTTCTTCTTAGCCTGAATCTAAATGTAGGCATTCCCAAAATTCTATTCCTCAGCTGTTTTCCTCATGATTTTCTCCTATGAAAATTCTTTACTGATCAACAATACTGATAGTAATAATAAGTCTCTATTTCTAGGCTTGAACTTTGGACAACTATTTCTAACAACTTATTTTGTTATTAAAGGGCACATAAATCTCAATATGCCCATTGAACTCATGATTATCTCCTCATATCACCTTCAAACCATTCCATTATCAAGTTTACAACTCCCTTTATCATTTAAACTACAAATCAATGTCCTCTTTGACACCTTTTTCTTACCCAAGATGATTAATCATTAAGTCTACTGGTTCTGTTTCACTTGTCTTGAGAATACAGATTAGAGCACAACTTCCTTTGATAGATCAATGATTTCTTGCTGCCTAAAGAAGAAATCCATCCTCAGCACATCATTGCTCTCAATGCCCAAGTCCTCACTCCTTATGTGCTGAGTTCTCAGCATCAATGCGTCATGAAAGACTCCAGTCACACTAAGAGCCTGATTTGCCTCTCAGTATGCACACTTGCTAACCAAATCCTACACATGCTTCATGGTCTAGGTCTTCCATCATGTTCAGTGTTTCATAACATGAGTCCCTTCTTGGTTATCCAGAGCACTTTTTTTTTTAACTTTTACTTGCATTTTATTTTAAACTTAATTTACTCCCCAGACATAAAATTTTGTTTCTTCAGTTTCTTCTTTGCAACTTCCTCTTCTGGTTTAGGAACAATTTTTTCCTTTTTCAGTGAGGATGTGGCAAGGGGAGCTCACTTAGGGGTTGATTCAACCATGAATTCTGTAAGTTTGGTGGCACATCTGGGGGCTTTGTTGACCTGGATGTGCTTAATGACCAGAGAATCCACATCTAAACCCTTATAAGTTCAGCATTGCTCTCTGCATTTTTCAGCATGTGCAGCAAAAACTCAGTGCTCTTTTTGGGCCACTGTGTCCAGTCCCGCTGTTTGGCCAGGACATACCTACCAACACCACCACCAGATGGTACACAAAGCATCTGCAAAGTGACATCTTTAAGAAACTTGGTGGCTTACCCTTGATGGCCTGGGCAGCATCTTAAAACATTTTTGTGAGTGAGATTACCTCAGGCCGCTTATGAGATTACCTCAGGCTGCTTAATTTTACTTATTTAAAAGAGAAATGTTTATTATTCATCTTTTAATTATATACCATGATTAACTGTAATAGGCAATTAGTAAATATTTGCTGAATTAAGTGAATACACTGATCTAATGACTGCTAATAGATGATGCAATGTGAATGCATTCAGTAGCCCCTTTAAACCCTTAAACAGTCAAATGCTGTTTATTTTTTATCACATAGAGCATGAGGAATACATTTACTGTCACTGTAAAGATTTAATGTACATGTAAAGAATGTTAAAATGGAAATAGAGTTATCATTAAAAAAAAAAAAAAAACCATGAAAGAAGTTGCAAATATGGCTTTATAACCAATGTTTCCAAACATTTACCTGTTTACATGAACTATGCATCATGCCTTCATAGGTCTTGAAGGTTACATTGGCTGGATTTACTAGTGTTTTTAGCTTTTCCACAGTAAGAGACCCAAACATTAGGGGAACTAAAGGGTCACAATCTCCATGGCACTGGAGAATAGGAATATCTTTATTAACTCCATTAATAGGACCCTGAAAAAGAAGAGAAAGAACTCATCAAGTAGCATGTTTATTCAAATGCATACAGTATTATGGCACGCACTAAAAATTGTACATGAACACACACACAATCTATTATGTAATTATAAATTATATTTGGCAAATAACTAACATTTCTCCCACCCCTATGCATTCCACATCTTTTTGTTTACTTTTATAAGGTATATAATTACTCTGCCTCATGTCTTCCCAATAAATATTATATTGAAGCATATTATCTTATTTTTCCACTTTCAATGTCTTTCATATGATAAGTAATCAATAAGTACTAGTACGTATGAGCTGAATCATGTTCTTCTAAGCTCTTACTTGATTTAAACAAGAACTTTTTTATTAAAAAATTGACTTAAATAAGAGCTTATTTAAATGATTTACTAAGCATTAATAAGCAGTAATTTTTATGCGTTAAGACATCAAAGAATATATATTGATAAGAAAGAACCCTGGGTTTTAAAATGAACTTTGAAAAAATCTGTATATCCTATCTTTATGTATTAAATATTATTTTACACTTTAGAACACTTAGAAATTGTATTATATGGCAAGCATTCTGCTATCAAACCTAAGTATAGTGAACATTCAAAAATATTATTTCTATTTGTTGGATGTGGGACTGATGATCTGTTCTGTAAATCTTATACAATAAAAACTCAAAAGAATATAGATTACTTCTGTGTGTTAAAAATAGTCTTGATTTTGATACACATTGTACAATTTATCAACACCCTTGAATTATATAATCCATGAAAACAGGGATTCTTATTGCATTCTATGTAATCCATTCTATATAGATATAGGCTAGTATAGTGTATAAACACAATAGTGTATAAACACAGTACAGTAGTAAATCACAAAAGTCTAAGAAAATGCTTGCAAGGGTGATAGAGCATCACACCAACAGTAAGTGCCTATCTCTTAGTTTAGGGCTACCGTGGTGTGCACATCAAGATACCTGTGGAAATGAGGACCGCAGTGGGAGCCAGCAGCTGAGCCCGATGACACCTGCTAGTTTTTGTTGTGTGGTAAGAGCAGTATATAAAGACAGAGCTCCTCCCTGGAAAAGCAAGTAAAAAAAAATTAGTGGAACACAAAAGCTGTTGTAGAAACTTCAGAGCTTTCTTAATGTTTTATCAGACTCAAATTGGGAGATGAATGTCAAATCAAATCAGTTTAAGTGAGCCAAGAGATACGTATAAACCACAAGTCCTAATGGACACTGACTCTCTACACTAGAGACCACAGTGAGAACAGTCTCCCAATCTGTGGAGGCAGAGTTAACAGTAAATTGCTGCACTTAAGAGTCTACCTTAGGGAATATTCTAAATTTATGGCAAATGTTTTCTCCTCTGAGAAACCATGATCATAAAATTAAATCTATTCTTAGATAGGCATTATGTCCTAGGCGTGGAATTCATAGTAAAGACCATGTAGTAGATACCTTCCTTCTGGGGACTATGTTACCACTGGGTATCGAGATGCCAGGTCACCCTGACTATATTGTGGGTCCCTGAACGCTGGACCATGTGTGTACATTCGATTATTTCCCATCCAAAACAGTCATTTTCTTCCTCCTAGGACTTTGAAATTGGGATTCAGGTTCTTTTGGTAGTTGGAACTATAAAATACAAACTCAAAAGCTGGAGGAACTATAAAAAGTAGAAGCTGGTAACCAACATAGATGAGAAGAGATAGATGTAGTAGATGACCAGAGAACACAGATAATGATAGAGAGACAGTCCTGACAGCTTTCTAAGTCCTTGCTCCACCCAGCTCCTTCCTGAGGTGCTGCAATCCTCCATTTCCTTAACATGATTCATACACTTCTAACTACCCCCTTCTTTAAACAAGTTCACATTATTGACTGAAAATTGAAAAAAAATGTATCTTATTGTGTTTTTAGTAAGATTCAGACAACAGTTTAGGTTACCACTCAACAATTTATACATAAATTGCTCAGTGACATTAGTTACATTCTTCACAATATGTGAATATTCTCATTATTTCCACTTTATTTTGTTTCCATTAATATATAGTTTCTATGCCCCCTTACATATCGTTATTTAGCCACCAAGGTGACCTCTGGTTAGTTTTGGTTCAACAGCTGAAGAATAGCTCAGGGCAAGAGTCTAGGGGAATCCTCTAGTCTTAACCAGTGTACTAGGTCTGGCTTTTTATTTGAACTTGAGATTTTGGTTTACATTTTTCTCCCATTTTATCAGGTTCCATCTATTGCGGCCCTGATTAGAATGGCCAGTAGTGATAAACAGGCACCGTCTAGTTCTTCTGGTTTTAGGGTAAATGAAGTCATGGTTCATGTATATTCCCCTTTCTTTTCTTTCTTAAACTATTATGAATTAATTTCTGTTCATTGTAACAGATGAATCAGAAAAATACCTTCTATTTTTTTTTACCTTCTATTTTTAAATAAGAATTAAACTTTTATCTGTGTATATTACAACATGTATTATAATGTACACCATCTATGAACTTTAATATACCAAAATCAGTAACATATCTTTCTATTGAACAGTATCATCTAAAATATCCTCAAATTCTGGTGTTAACCTAATTCAGGTAGTCTGAATTATGAAAATTTTCAAATTAGAAGCTAGGGATGGGTGATGTGAGTAACAAATGATGTACTAAATTAGAGAAATCTATGTACAATCTGCAATCAGTGTATTTGTGGAAAGTGTAGAAGTTTGGAAGAAAAGTATAGAAAGGGAAGAAGGAAGATGCCATAAATAAACACCACATATTTATATTTAAAACCTATTTTCACCATTCTCTCTTTTGGTCTTATGATTTACCATTCCTCTCAATAGTCTCTTCCTGGGAAAGGGTACTTAAGTTTCTGTCATTAGAGTTCTGTCTAGCTAATGAGGCAGTAAATTAGAATCCTAACAACATATGTTGTTGTTGTTAAGTGCCATCGAGTCGGGTCCGACCCATAGTGACCCTGTACAGGGTTTCCAAGGGTGTAAATCTTTACGGGAGTAGAAAGCCTCATCTTTCTCCCGCGGAGCGGCTGGTAGTTTCGAACCGCTGACCTTAAGGTTCACAGCCCGATTCGTAACCACTACGCTACCAGAGCTCCTTAACAACATATATACTATGGTTATTTTGAGAAAATAAATTCCAGAATTCATTCAATTTATTGATTAAAATTTAAAGACACAATTTATTACATGAAGGATACTATTGAAGGGATCAAAAATAGAAACATAAAGAGTAGATAAAGTAGAAATTTTGTCCATTCAAGCTTAATTCGGGATTGCTGTTATTGTCTGCCGCTGAGTTCATTCCGACACACAGTGACCCTGGAGGACATAGTAAAACTGTGATCTTTATGTAAGTTATCAAGGGTTTTCTTATTCTTGGATCTACAATCAATGTCTATGGAAGCAGCACTCAAGAAATCAGACAATGTATTACACTGGGTAAATAGGCTACAAAAAACCCTCTTTTTTAAAGTATGAAAGCAAAGATGCGAACTAAGGTGCACTTGATCAAGGCTATGGTCTTTCCAATTGGCTCTTAAGTATGTGAAAGCTGAATAATGAATAAAAGAGGCCAAGAAACTGATGCCTTTAAATTATGGTATTGATGAAGAGAATTGATTATACCACAAAATGTGAGAAGAATGAACAAATCTGTCTTGGAAGAAGTATGGACAGAACGTTCCTTAGTAGCAAGAATGGTGAGACTTTGTCTTACATACTTTGGATGTGTTTCAGGAGGGACCAGGCCCTGGAGGAGGGCACCATGGTAAAGTAGATGATTGGTAAAAAAGAGAAAGTCCCTCAGTGAAATGGACTGACACTGTGGCTAAAACAATGGGTCTATCACAGGGAGAATTGTGAGGATGGTGCCGGACCAGACAGTATTGCATTCTGTCATATAGGGTTGCTATGAACTGGAACAGACACGATAACACCTAACAACAACAATCTGTGGGAGCAGACTGCAAGGTCTCTTCTCCCATAGAGCCACTGTGGATTCAAAGGGCTGACTTCAGATTGCAGCTGAACATTGTGCCACCAGTATCAGAGGTAAGCTCATTAGTTAAGAGTCTATAACATCTCACAACAACTAACATCTCACGACCAACATAAGCAACAGGGTTGCATATGGATGTACTGGCATATCACACAAACTTCAACTTACCTGAGAAAATCCTCCCAAAATAATTCTGTTAGAAGGTATTCCATTCTTCACCTCTTGATCTATCAAAGCTTTGACTAAAAACAACATAAAAATTACCAATACTTTCAGAGTATGCCCATTGATACAATTAAAAATCAAAAGTAGAATATCAATAATAGAAAAGCACAAAGTATACTGAGAATAAAAATGAGGAAATGAAAATACATTCTGAGTTTCAATATCATAAATGTAACTTCTGAATCTACTAAAAACATTAATGAATGCTTTGCTGACTATCAAATATTTCTGTTTTTGCTTTAAGAGACAAAATTTATTTTCTCATAGGTTAAGAAGCTAGAAGTCTGAATTCAAAGCACTGGTTCTAGAACAATGCTGTTGTTGGCTCTGGAGCAATGTCCTTGTCTCTTCAGCTTCTGCTTCCTGTTCCTTGGAGATCTCCAAACGGTTTGACATCTATCTTACCCCATCTCTTCTCTATTTACTTGTTTCATCTTTTTTTCTTTTGGTGGGGGCAGAGGAAGGAATTAGGACGAGGGTTAAGTCTATGGCTAGGTCTGGGTGAGGTACAAAGTGTCATGTAGTGTTAAGGGTTATGTTATGGTTTAGACTAGGGTTTGGGGTAGGGGTTCAGCATGTCTGCTACTCTGTCATCTGGCCCTAGAAATTTATCAAATATTTGTGACCTTACCGTTTTCTGCTGCTTCTTTGATTCCATTTTCATCCTCCTGTGAATCTGGTGAAAGTCCAATAATATCAAACCTGCAAAATAAGGCAAAATCTTGAAAAGAACCATGTGATTCTAAGAAAATCTCCTTCTGAAATGTTTTTACTAAGCTCAGTCTTGTTCATATTTTTGTTAGTTGCCATTAGTAGGTTCTGACTCATGGTGACCCACAAGCAACAGAATAAAATGTTGCCCAGCCCTATACCATCTTCATGATCGCTGGGATGCTTACGCTCACTGTTGCAACCACTGATTACCTTCTGACCTAAGGAGCTTATCTTTCAGACTAGAGTTAACAATAACCTGTGGCCCATGGGGTTTTCATTGGCCTTTCGGAAGCAGAGGCAAAGCCTTTTTTCAGTCTGGAAGCTCTGCTGAAACCCATCTACTATGTGTGACTTTTCTGGTATCTGAAATACTGGTGAGACTGCTTCTAGCATCACAGCAATTTATAAGCGACCATAGGACAACTAACTGACACACAAGTGGTGTGATGGTCAATGTTATGTGTCAACTGGACTAGGCTATGATTTTCTCAGTGATTTGGCAGACAACATGTAATCACTATACATTTTGTGGTCTGATGTGAGTAGCCAGTCAGTTAAAAGGGAAGTTTCTTAGAGGGCAGGGCCTGCCTCAAAGCTTGCTCTCTTTCTCAACCCTGCTCTCTTCTCATTGCTGACCTCGTTCTTCTGACATAAACACGCAGAAGCCTCCAGCCTTCCACCTGACCTGCAGATTTTGTGTTCGTCAGCACAGCAACCACAGGGGACAGTAAAAGTCTTAAGTACCCTGACCCATAGCTTTGGGATATGCCAATCTCCACAACTGCAAGAGGAACTTCCTTGAAATAAATTTCTCTTTCTATATAATATCTATATACAGGAAGCACAGTGTCTCCATATAATAAGCACTGGATTGCGAACCATAAAATCTGCAGTTTGAGCCTGTCAGCCACTCCATGGGAGAAAGATGAGGCTTTCTGCTCCCATAAAATATTTAAAGCCTTGGAAACCCTATACAGGGTCACTCTAAGTTGGAACCAACTCAAGGGCACTTCACTTATCTATATATACTTCATAAGTTTTGCTCCTCTGGAGAACCTAGACTAAGAAATGTGATGATAACCAGTTGTCACAGAGTAGACTTTGACTCATGGTAACCACACGTGTGTCAGAGTACACCTGTGTTGATTTTTCAGAAGTAGAGTACACCAGACCTTTTTTCCAAGCTACCCGTGGGTGGATTTAAACTTCCAACCTTTCAATTAGCAGCAGGGTGCATAACCATTTATACCAACCAAGGATTCCAAACTCAGAGTGGCAGCGGTGGGGGTTATGTGCATGGAGTCAGTTCCGACTCATAGCAACCCTGTATAGGGTTTCCGAGGCTGTAAATCTTTACAGGAGCAGAAAGCCTCATCTTTCTCCCACGAAACTCAGAGTAGTTTGGATAAAAAAGATTAAGCGTGGACTGCAAGGTTGGTTTGAACTGCACCTCATAAACCCTACCCGTTGGTCCTTTCTATTTCTCTATCATTATGCTATTAATATGTTCTCATTATGGCCTACAGTAACAGGAGGTAGAAAATTTGGTTCTAGCATGACAATTCTGCGATAGGGAAGATGAAGGAATCAAAGTCAAGGTGGGTAGGAACTTGTAAAAGTTGCCAAGCACTCAAAGTTAGATTAAAAAAAGTACTGAAGTGGGTTAGAGATCGATGGAAAAACAGAAGGGACAAGACGATAACAGAACAGACACCCAACTGAGGTCCAAGAACAAACAGTGTGAAACAGAAAGGTCAGTTCAAAGGATGGACGAGTGTGCTTAACAGTTAGTTCTGAGTCAGTTGGCTTCTAATGAGACAGTTCCAGATTATAAGAACTAGGGAATGATAGTGGATGATTCAAGTTGAAGAAAGGAAGTCACTGGGGAAAAAAGGTAAAGGAAGTGACAAGCCAGTCAAGGTTTAAATGGGTCGCTTACAGTGGATCCTGTAGTCACCCAAAAGAGAAAATGATGGCAGGATGTAAGTGCAAAGAAAGATGTAAATCAGGTGAAAGAGTCACCACCAGTCTGTGAAAAGACTAGATGGCAGGAGCCTCAGAGAGCATAGCAGAAGAATTGTCATCTCCAAGTAGCTTAAAGAAACAAGGAACCAACCCTAATACCTGACCTTACATTCCACACAGGGAAAAGACTATCTTGAATGGGTGAAACGGGGAAGGAGTTTCCTTAAACTACCCAAAATTAGAAAGGTGGTGAGGTTGTGCCTTAACATTTTGTTACTTCAATCAACAAATGTTTATTAAGCAATAGGAGATATTTCCCCAAAATATTTCTATTCACTCATTCTATCCTGTTTCCCTATCAGTTTGTACAGCTTCTTAAAAGTTTAACCCTGAATGTAAAGTATAAAAATGAAAATAAATAAAAGATTAAATTTAAGGCTAGCTATGTAACTATACAAAACCCCACTGATATCTAGTTGATTGTGACTCAGCAACCTCAGTTAGTTCAGAGCCCTGCTCCACCGGGTTCCCAAGACTGTAAATCTTTACAGAAGCAGACTGCCTCACCTTTTTCCTGCAAAGCAGTTGGTGGGTTCGTATCACCAACTTTTGGTTAGCAGCCAATGCTTAACTCACTGTGCCAACAGTGCTTCTTTAGACAATTATGCAAAGTAAAACATTTCAATTAGCTGTTTTTAAAATGTCATGTAGAAACAATTGAACCAGTGCACGTATCACTGTGTATATTTTCAACAAGAGCAACAGCAGCAAAAAATACCAGAACATCAATCACTTTGTAGTTCTCTACTCTTGGAGTCCTGGTGTGGCACTGTGGGCTAATGCATCAGACTGCAAAGTCGTTTGAACTGCAAGGTCGATGGCTCAAGCTCACCAGCTGCTCCTTGGAAACCCTATACAGGGTCGCTATGGGTCGGAATCGACTTGATGGCACTTAACAACAACTCTTGCTGTTGATTCCAGCTCATAGCAACCCTGCAGGACACAGCAGAACCACAGGGTTTCCATGGCTATGTAGTCTTCACTGAAGCAGACTGCCACATCATTCTCTCATGGAGCAGCAGCTGGTGGGTCTGAATTACAAACCCTTCGGTTAGCAGCTGAATACTGTAAACACTAAGCATGCAGGGCTTTTTCATAGTAACTAGTGTTACCATAACAGAACAAATCCAAGTGGGTGCTATAAAGAATAAAATTATACTCAACCATCTGTGGTGCTGAAGGATAAGCACTGGACTGCTAATCCCAGGGTCAGCTGTTCAAACCCACCAGCAGCTCCTCGGAAACTCTATACAGAGCTGCTATGAATTGGAACCAACTTGATGGCACTTAACAACAACATCCAACTTAAGAGACCTGGTGTGGTGCTGTACGATAAGCATCGGACTGCTAACCACAAAAGCAGCAATTCAAACCCACCAGCTGCTCTTGGAAACCCTATACAGGTTGCTGTGAGTAGGAATCGACTCAACAGCACTTAACGTGCAATTTTAAAATAGTAAAGTTTAATTCCAACACACATAAGCACTTCTGATAAAAGGTTAAGTAACGTAAGTGGAATACTCTTAATGAACAAGGATATTCTTACTTACCAAGAAGGCATAGTCATTTTCATATTTAATGTAACAGGCATAACTGGCCTATGTGGATAAGAAAAACAAAATAAGAATGTAACAAAGAATGCCATATCATACATTCTATTAATGATCAATTAAAAATAAATCAATACTCAGGCTCAAACAAAGGGATGCTACAATTTTTACACATGAATCTCTTGAGCTGTTTCACTACATCAACACCTTTACAATTCTGTCTCCAGGTCCTCCAATGAGTGCTGAGCCTGAGCAACTGTTGGGAAGGGCTAAGTCTAGCCAGTGAGAATCATTTTCCTTACCCAACACGCTTTCTTATATAGGACTTTATATGAGACACAAGGAAGGAAACACCAGCAGTTAAGGCTGTTGTAAACGTACAAAACGAGACTCAGGCTAAGGATATTTAGCAGTTTACAACAGACACTGCAGAATCAATTTCAGCATAGATTACATTTTTGCCTACTTTCTAGTTCCTAGCTAAAGATGACTTTATTACCAAAAACCAAATCCACTGCCATCAAGTTGATTATGATGCATATCGACCCTAGCAGAACAGACTAAAGGAGCTTTGGTAGAGTGGTTGGTGCTTATGTGCACGGAGTCGGTTCCAACTCATAGCGACCCTGTACAGGGTTTCCGAGGCTGTATCTTTACGGTAGCAGAAAGCCTCATCTTTCTCCCGTGAACAGCTGGTAGTTTCGAACTGCTGACCCTGAGGTTAGCAGCCCAATTTGTAACCACTATGCTACCAAGGCTCCTTTGGTAGAGTAGTGGTTAATAATTGGGCTGCTAACCTCAAGGTCGGGTGCTTCAAAACTACCAGCTATTTCACAGTAGAAAGAGGCTTTCTGCTCCCATAAATTTACAGCCTCAGAAACCCTGTGCAGGGTGGCTATGAGTCAGAACCAACTCCATGCACACCACCACCACTACCACTACCAGAACAAACTAGAACTGCTCCCTAGGGTTTCCAAGACTGTAAATCTTTACAGGAGCAGACAGTTCTCCTGCAAAGAAGATACTGGGTTTGAACCGCCAACCTTGAGGTTAGCAGCCCAATGCTTAACCCACTATGCCAATAGGACTGCTTTGGCTTTACTAAAGGTCCTCTAAATAAGTAAGGGAAGTATACAATTTGCATGGAAGTTTAACTCCAAAGCCTGTTTCCCCCACAATACAAAGGGGCTTCCAAAAATTTGGAGAAATTCCATGATCTTTTTCTGGTGTAGTAAATTATTTAATATGTCTCTTTTAGCCTAGTCTTTTTAACTCCTACCAAATGACTTTGTTCCTGATGGGTCTGGGTAGAGGAAGTTGGGAGAAGATAATAAGATGACACAATGCAGTTGTGGATGTTAGCAGAGTTAAATGTAACTTTAAACACCTGAAACTCTAGAATGGGTATAAAATGCATCCTTCCTATCAGAAGCAGGAGGGGGCAATTTCAGAGCTTGTCTGTTGGACTCCGAGATCCCTGTGCATTGAACCTCCTTGACCCAGAGACAGAAAGTTATGACAGCAACAGCCATAGCACGAGATGATGGCAGAAGGCTTGCTTGCAGAGTGGGGACTTAATCCCAGGAGGTAGGTTTGTTGCTCCAAGGAGCTAGAGCCAAGGCTGAGGCTTATGGTGGGATGGTTTGCCCTGTGGGCATTTACTGACAGCCCTAAAACAGCTTTGTAACACTGCCTGAGTAGGGCAAGGGCCAAGTCAAGGGTTTGAGGGCCAGAGAGAGGCCCACCTGTGGGCATAGCTGAGAGGCTGTCCAGACTGGAAGAACTGTGCTCTGAAGATTTTCAACCCTGAATTGTACCCTGTTAACTTCTCTAACAAACCCCATACTGTGTGTATGGAGTCTGAGTTCTATGTGGCTGCTGCAATGAATTTTCAAACCCAGATGAGACAGTGCTATGACAGGGAAGGTTGGTGCATTTTTTTGTCTTTTAATTCCCTTTGTCTCTTAACTTTGTGAAGCCCCTCATGTACATCCTTGCCCTTTATTGATAAAATTTAGGAGTGTTTTCAATATAGAAAGACTTCTAATAAAATCTGAATGGTAAATTCCCTTCAGAGATAATGCAAGGGCATCGTTAGAAATTTATGGATATCTGTATATCTAAAAAAATTGGCTATAACCTTTAAGAGAACAAGATTTTAAATAAAATTTTAAAGTATTTATCAATAAAAAGAAAGTAAAATGACAAAGAAATAGAAAAAAATTACAAGGTGATTTAGTTTTAAATCTTAAACTTAAAAAAAAATTGTCAATATTTGTATACTGATAAAAAATTAGGCTCAAATGTTCTTCCTGCAAAGTAAACCTATAAAAAGTTTTAACTGTTCCTCTTCAGATTCTGAACGAAAAACCTAAAGATTAAAAATACTTACGCGTGTGGGCAGATATATTTGATGTGTGAACTTTTGATACCTGCAAAGGCTTCTGCCCATCCATGCCTGATGGAGAAATTATTTGAATAATGTTATTAGATACTGTCTTAGTTATTTAGTGTTACTATAACAGAAATACCAAAAGACAATAGCTTTCACGAATTTATTTTCTCACACCTTGTTAAGTGCCATCAATATTTCTAACTCACAGTGACCCTATATAGGGTTTCCAAGCTGTGGCTTGTGGATTTAAATTTCAGACCATTTAGTTAACTGTCCAGTGCTTATCCTACATGCCACACCAGGACTTAGGAGGCTAGAAAGTCAAATTTAGGGTGCTAACTCCAGAGTACAACTTTCTGAGAGCTCAGTTTAGAGATAGGTCCTTGTCTCCCTTCAGCATTTGTGGGCCTGGCATTCCATGGAGATCTCTATGTATCCTGGCATCCATCAGTCTTCCCCTGGGTCTAAGAGGTTCTTAGCACACTGTTCCCATTGATTCTCTGTTGGTGGCACTGAGGTCTCTTCTCTCTCAGCTCACTCCTTACTCATGTTTTATCTCTTGTAAGATAAAGGTGATGCAGACCACACCCAGGAAAACTCTCCTTATATTCGATTAGGGCTGTAACTTGAGCAACAGTGTTTTATCCCACTTTAACACCAACACAACTGACTGACCGATCACATTATGGATAATGATTACATTATTACCTAACTACTAAATTATATCATTCCATAATAACCAAACCACTGAGAATCATGCATGGCCAAGTTTTTCTTGGGGGGGGAGGAGGAGTGGTTGGGGGAGGGAGCCACACAACTCAATACATGGCAGATAATTATTTTAAGTTCCAATAAATTAGTAACTAATGTTGGTAAGTGCCACTGAGTCAGTTCTGACTCATAGCAACACATAAGGGTTTCTGAGGAGCAGCTGGTAAGTTTGAACTACCGACCCTGTGGTTCAAACCGACCTTGCGGTCCAGTACTTTATCCCACAGTGTCACACCAGGACTCTCCAGTAACATTTACCTAAGAAAAATGTGAAGGTAAATGTAAACTTAATATATATATTTTGTTTTTCTTTAAATTTTTATTGCGGAATGAGCTTAAGTTTACAGGGCAGATCATCAGTTTTACATTCAACAAATCACACAACTTGTTTCATCACAATGATTATAATCCCCTCAGTGTACCATGAGTTAACACTATTTCTCTCTATTCACTTTAGCTGTTTAAAAAAAAACAAAACACAACACTCAGACATATATAATAATTTACAGCACCAAAGGACACATTCTGTAAGTCTGCCTTATAGCCACCATCTCTTAGTCCCTCTCTTCCCAGGAATCTAGAGTCCTCAGCCACTCCCCCTCTCCATATCCCCATCTCTGGTTTTCTGGATATCCCCATCTCTGGTTTGCTGGTTTTCTGGATAAGGTCCCGCATTCCGCTGTGCTCTTCTCCCTTGATGGTCCTCAGGTGTTTTGTTTCTGGACTGTAAGATCAACTGCTCCCCCATTTTTGTTACAAAACTTCTACCTTTACAATTGTTAAAAGTCGCAATTAGTCATAACAATGACTCACTATTTAACCATATGAATCTTATCCCCATCTCTTTT